CCAGCCAGGCAAGGCAAGGCAAGCGGACGGGCCGGCCCGCCGGCTGGCCAGCCCGCCTTCGCCCCTTGTCTCTGTATTTGCCCGCCCCTCAAGCTGGGCAGTTCCAGCAGGTTAGACCGGAGGGAGGAGCGGAACGGCTAGGCCGGACGCCTGGGTTCGCCGAGGGGGGGGAGGGGCTGTAGAAGTCTTGGGGATTTCAAATCCGCAGGAGGTGGCGGGGGAGCGGAGAGGAGCAGGAAATTTGGAATTAGGATCCCCGGGATTCGTGGGGTCTGGAGGTTTGGGCTTTGTTTTGTTTTTAAACCCATCATGATATCTTTATTTTGAAATATTTTTCAGTATTCAGCCTCTCCCCCCCCCCAAAAAAGCCTTAGATCCAGCAGTTCACCGCAGTGGGGAAGACAGGATTCCAGGGTCCCCCTCGAGGAACCCTGACTGTGAGGGGGAAGTGAAGCCTAGTGGGAAGAGAGCTATGAGGCTTACCGGAGGGGGGGCATCTTTGCAGGTTTCTTCAAAGAATCATCTAGTGGGGGGGGAGTAGGACTTCTGGGGTGGCCTGGGAGATAAGTGTATGGGATTGAGTAGGAAAACCCCAGAAAACTTGATTTTAGCAAGGATTTTTTGGGTTTCTGTCTCCTAGCGGGGTGTTCCTCACCAGCAGAGTGTTCTGGGAACCATGAAATCTTGTCCTATAATGAAAAGATTAGAGATTGAGGTGCTGCCACCTTCGGTTGTTGTTTTTTAATTTCCCATGGACGCTAAGATTTGGGTGGGGGTGAGGCCTGTGAGACAGGAACCCTTGGGTTCCTCAAGTTAAAAAAGATCTAGTTGTGAAGGGGGGGGGCAATCTGAGTGAGCCGGATCAGTGAGGTTTTTGCAAAAGGAGAGCAATCTGTGGCTGGAAGGGAGAAGAACCATTCGCTTAGCCAAAGAGAAAAGGGTTTCACTGTGGGGAGTTTTATCAAAAGGGGTCCAGAACTCTGACGGGGGAGCATGGCACGTTGGAGAAGGGTCTGTGCCCTAAGCTAGGATTTTGCAAGAATTGAAATAACCGTTTGCATGTAGAAGACACCTTAGATTTTCTTAGTGACTAGGTCTCAACAAGGGTGATAAATTAGAGGAAAGCTGTCTCTGTGGTCAGATAATCAGGACAGTTTAATAATTTAGGAGAAAGATGGAAAGCTGAGTGTTTGGCATACTTTCAAGGGGATCCTAGTGAGGATTTGAACAGGAGGATGGGGGCAGTGGCTATGCTAGCAAGGGGATTTTTGGAACTTGTTGTTTAAACAGGCCAAAGCTCCAGATGCTTGGCTAAGGGAGAGAGTTTCCAGTTCTCCTTATTTGGTAAACTTCCTACACTTGTTTTTGTATATTGTTTACATGGGCAGATTCTGACAACACGTAAGTCCTAGCAGTGACAATCACTCTGGGACTCTCTAGCCACAGAATATGCCAACCAGGTTTCCATTTCTCCAAAACCTTTTAAAAGTGGTAGTTATGTGTGGGGTCAGAATCTTTGCATGCCTCTCATCTAACCCCCCCAGTATGCCAACCAGGTCTCCGTTTCTCCAAAACCTTTTAAAAGCGGTGGTTATGTCTGGGGTCAGAATCTTTGCATGCCTCACACACACACACACCCCCCGTCTGTTAAGGGCAGACGCAAACCCTTTGTCCCACGTGACTGGCTGGACACTGCCGGCAGCCCAGCACTGTTCCTAAAACGGGTTTGTGATGCTGTCTAATCCTCAGAAAATTTGCCACCCCCTCTGTGTGTCTTTTAATCCTTGCTGGTGTATGTGTGTGTGTGTGCGGCTGCAGCTGGCTGGCTGGTTGAGTAGCAGGAAGCCCTGTGTCCCCAGTTTACCGCTCTAGCTGTCAAGGCACCATTCCTATGGCACGATGTCTCCCTGTGTAGAGGACTTTCGCCACTCTCTAGTAAAAGCTGCTGGGGAGGTTATATCAAGTGTGTGTGTGTGTGTGTATGTTTGCTAACAGAGCTGTTGCTGGACTGCAGCGCCCATGATTCTTCAGCCTTATCTGTCCTGGGAATATTCATGGGAGTTGCAGCTCAACATCTGGAGGACTGCAAGTCCCAGCAAGGAGCCCTACAAGATGGAGTGGGGCAGCCAGGCCTGCTGCATTGCAGGTAGCTTACCTGGGCAGCATTACTGCCCTCTTGTGGTTCTCTTTATGTATGAACCTCACCTAAATTTCTCCTGCCTCCCCCCCTCAGGTCCCATTACACCTGTGTCCCGAAGCACACCCAGCCCTGTGGACCCTGAGGCCGTGGAGGTCCTCATGAACTTTGACCCTGACCCCGCGGACTTGGCACTGTCCAGCATTCCAGGACATGAGACCTTTGATCCTCGCAAGCATCGGTTCTCTGAGGAAGAGCTCAAACCCCAGCCCATCATGAAAAAGGCGCGGAAAATACAGGTTCCGGATGAGCAGAAGGTGAGATTTGGAGCAACGTACATACCAGTACACACACACATTTCCCTACTGCTTCCCAGTTGTCTGGGTAACCACCTCTCATTAATTAACTGTAGGCAGAAGATCTACAGCAGAATTTGGAAAAGTTGTGGGTTTTTTTTGTAATAACTCCCAGAATTTCCAGCCAGCACTCCGCCAGCAACACATGGCATCTTTACAGTGGGTCCCCATTAATAGGTGATCTTTTTGGAAAATCATCTAAAAATATAGGTTTAGTTAGAAGCCAGCCTTAGTCGAACCCTTGCTTAGCTATGATGCGTAATGGTATAGAAAAGTAATTACAGTGTTGGATTAGGGCTTGGGAAATCCAGATTCTAGATCCATGGAGCCATGAAACTCTCAGTGGTGATCTTGTCAGGCTCTCCTGGCCTTTGCTTCTGGAATTGTTGTGAGGACGTCAGGAGGAACAGAGCCAAGTGAGCTGAATCGAGGCAAGGCAGGATATAAGAATGTAAAATAATTAAATACATGCAAACTGACATACCCTTCAGTCACCATGAATCACTTCACAATTTTGCTGCAGTTTTAACAGAGTGCTCTAGTATCCTTGAAGGAATGTAAATGTCCCATGCTAAAATTCCAGTTTTTGTATATTATTTACACAGGCAATATGTATTGTTTACATATGTGTTGAGATGCTTCCAAATTTGGGCTCAGTGAAATCAATGAAGGTCAAGCTCCAGCAGTGTCAATAGGATTTCTTCAAGTTTGATTGATCCAACACAGTGGAGTCAAGCAGGATGACAACTTGGAAAAGTTACTTTTTGCAGTCCAATTCATTATATTTCAAAAAGGCAACTATTCCAAGTTCCCAGCAAGGTTGTGTGTGCATGTTAGGACCAACAGTGTTATCAGTGGGTGCGTTTTGGGTGTGATGCTATTTTTTAAGCTTCTGCGGTCATATTATCCTCTCCTTCCCACAGTCAGTTGATGATATTCTCTAGTTAATTGTATCATTACAGTAACCCTATGTGACACTACTGTCAGTCTGTGAAGACATGGGTCAGCCCAAGGTCATTGGAACCACATTCATGTCAAGCATTCTGTCTGTTGCACAACACTAGCAGAATGTGAGACACTATCCTGGCCCAAGTTACCTTTTGACATAAATCACCCTTTCTCGTAAGTCTTCCCTTTGGCTTTGTTAAAAAATGGGCACAGTTCCCAGAGACTTTACGGATGTTGGGTGGAAAACAGACACACAGAGACTGGCATACCTTAAAAATGTTCATTGAGAGGGGAAAATAACCCTTTAGGAACTAGACATTGCAGACTTAATGTCCTATGGCTATATTCAGAACTTCTGGATAGGTCAGTGGTTTAGGTCTCTGGCTGCAGAGCCAGAGATTTTAGAGTTTGATTCCTCACTGTGCTTCTTTGACAAGGGCTGGATTTGATGATTTGATAGTCTCTTCCAGCTCTGCAGTTCTAAGATAATGGTTAACCCAGAGCATGGTCTGAAGGCATTTTTGTTCAAGCTAAGTGGTTCTGCTCATTGTCCAGATGTAGAAACTGCCTGTGAACCAGAGGCCTCGAGCTTCTTAAGTAGAAATAATGTTGTTATTAACGTAATAAAATGTACACCTTTGTATCAGTGGCTTTTTAAAAAGAGAACTTTTTACTGTGTTTCAGAACTGGGCTCTAGTGTATGGGCTACATGAAGCAAAGTGCATTTATTGATTGACTGACTGATTGATTGATTGATTGATTGATTGATTGCATTTATATGCCGCCCGTCTAGACATTTTTTCATGTCCAATGCTAATATTTTCTCTCCTTTTCTCTTGACCAGGATGAGAAATACTGGAACAGGCGGTACAAAAACAATGAGGCAGCTAAACGCTCACGGGATGCCCGCCGCCTGAAAGAAAACCAGATCACAGTCCGGGCGGCTTTCCTGGAGAAGGAAAACGCTGTCCTGCGCCAGGAAGTGGCTAACATCCGCCAGGAACTGAGTCGCTACCGCAGCATCCTCTCTAAGTACGAATCGCAGCACGGCACCTTGTAAAACCCGCAGCCAAGGTGTTGCATTCTTCTCTACTTGTCCCAACCACCCGAGGGGGTGGTAGGGTCACCCTGGTTTTTCAACCCTGACCCCCGTCTTCCCGAACCGGGCAAACAAATAATCAAACAAGAAGATGTTTGGAACGAGGGGAAAGGTCCGAAGTGGTCGATTCCTTCACGTGAGGACTGTCGTGGTCCGGGTGCACAAAAGAAAGGAAAAGACTTCCTGAGGTTGGCACACGAGCAGACCCTTCGTCAAGACAAAGGGCAGTGACTTCGAGATGGTGAACTGGGCATTGCAGGCACATGGAACACACTACAACCACACAAGGGCTCAGTAGCACATAGGAAGATGAATTGCGCGCGTACACACAAACACACATGCACATACACGCACACTGAACATACATGTACACACTAGAGTTGGCTTTTTGGCAGACTTTTGTATCCAAAAGGCAGAATTCAGTCATAGACTCAATGACTCATTGGTCATACAGGGCATTTGGGGTCATTCCCACGTGTGACCCAGGGGGCATATTTCAGGCATTTAAGGATGCCTAAGTTTGTCCTCTTTTCTTTCTTTCTTTCTTTTTTCACGAGAGATGCATCTTTTTTTATCAGATGTTTGCACTCACTTTCAGGCATTTAAGGATGCCTGAGTTTGTCCTCTTTTCTTTCTTTCTTTTTTCACAAGAGACGCATCTTTTTTTATCAGATGTTTGCACTCAATTTATTGATCCCTTTTTATTTCCTTCTCTCTCATTGACACTTTATTAGAGGTGGCAGCTAAGGACACAAATTCCAACCAGCTACAAAAGTGGATGTGTGGTTCCCAGGTGGGCAGAGCTCCCATCCCGCTCTGTTTAACCCCTGCATTGCACTATGCCTGTCGCAAGAGAACACAGGAGTCCTGGCACCTTGGGGGTGGGGGGGAAGAGGACTTGAGTGTTTTCTTCCTTTTTTGACACCAGTAAACGTTGTAACTTTTCATCTGCCTATGAAATGCCAAATTAGAAAAACAAACGGGTTGCACACTCATATTTTTTTTCCACAATTGAATGCAAGGGGCTTGTGTCAGAGGGCAGGTGAAGGGGTTATTAGATTTAATTATTAATTATTACTGTTAGCTTATTATTATGATACCTATTTTTAGTTACAATGCAAGTGATGGTTTCTATTCCCCCCCCCAGCTTCCTCTTGTTTTGTCTCCAGCAATGTCTGATGTCATCATATGTACAGAAACTAAAACACAAAACCTCATTGGTGATCCTCTATAAATATGAACAGATATAAATAAATAAATATAGTTTCTTTTTATTCTGTTTTTTTCTTTTTCCTTATTTTGGTAAAACAGACAATATATATATATAGAGAGAGAGACTCCAGGAGATACTTCAGAGATTAAATCATGTTCTTCTCTGGGGGGAAAGGATGGTTCTTTCGTAGAGAAAGGAAATGGGGAAATATGATCGTTTTTATTTCCTCTGAGGAGGTTCTGTCTTTTTAATTTTCCATGGTAAAGAGTGCTGCAGAGAACTTTTGGGGAGAGAAAAAATCAACAACTGTGAACGTGACAGGATACTTTTTCAAAAGGATGTTTACAGTTGTATACTATGAGCAATGAGGAATAAAGAAAGACAGGATTTAAAAAAAAAGAATGAACAATATCAAGATCATGTTGTTTTGTATTTACATGACTCTGTGCTGGTGCAATAGGGACGTACATACATGAAGATTTCCATACACTACATGAACTTAACCTTTTTCTAGGTTTTTTTTTTGTCCACTTGGATTATGAAAGGGGTTCCTTTCCCCCATCTTTTTGATACCCTGCTATATCAGAGAGAAAAAGTGACTCTTTATTTTTAGCCAACACTGTCTATATGCTATGAGGGTAGTAGGAAAGGGGGTAAAATGCAACATTCTGTGCTGCACGAAATGTGTGTGTCAGAGGGCAGGACTTACTGTCCCCAGCCAGCTTGGTCCACAGTTTGCTAGCGATGATGGTACTGTAGCTGTGATCCTGCAGAGCTGTAAGGCCCTCCGTTTAGAGGAGGTTACTGAACCAAGACAACCGCATAGAAGGACAACCTCATGTGGCCTGCCTGGTGTTGGGATTGCAGCTGTAGTCCTTGACCATTTGGCCTCAGGCAAATTGCGGAGTGAGCTAGCAACAGCTGAGGGTCCACCAACATCTTGAGAGTCACAAGCTCCACAACCTTATTGTGGAACAGCAGTCACTTTCTATATTCTTGCCAATTCTGCAACGTTTTTACTTCTGGCCACTGGGGAGCAAGCCGAAGGTGCCATGTGCTCGCCCCTGTCTCCAGTGTCTTAGGTTTGATTAGATGGCAACATCCATGCTCATTTCAAGCTGGTTGCAGTGGATGGTCTGGGAAGACAGGTGGAGCTGGGGCACTGCTGCAGCCAAAGAGGTGTGGATCTGATCAGTTCACTGGATCAAAGCCTTTTGTCAGGTGTTCCCCAAATTAATGGCAGAGAATGTGATTTCCGCTTTGAACCTTCAGAGTTCAGTTTCTGATAAACCAGCTGAACGGTTTTGGGTACTAAGGGGCCAGGAAAATAATAATTTGTATTTGAGCTGTTCGATTGCTGCTGACGGACTTGTGCAGTACAGATCAATGGAGTCTCAGTAAAAGGCAGGTAATTTTGTGGAGTCTTAGAATCCCCAAATAAAAATGGCTTCGGAATGGTAGAATTTGTAACAAACCAACCAATCTTAAGCTCTGATCAAAATAAAGAAGGAAAAGACATTTCCAAGGTCTTTTGGTGGCTGGAGAAGGAGTGGGGTTCCATAGGTGGGATACTGTGGCTAAGAAGATTATTCCTTATTTCTGGCTACACTTAGATGAAGAATTGGCAAAGAAAATCCTCTTATCTGAAGTCTGGTTAGACTTCTTGGACAGCTCATAGGCCCTTAGGACACAAACAATTCCCCAGAACTTTTTTTTTTGAAAGAGATTTTTTTCATTACGGCTGGTTTCTGTTTTGGAAGGAACTGGTTTTTCATTTGGGAAACAAACATGTAGATCGCACAGGAAGGAAATTTTAATGAGGAAAAATAGGAGACAATTATGTATCCTGAGTAGGTTGGTGGGTACAAGATAGTGTGTAGAGAAGCCTATAAGTTCCCCACCAAACCCCACAAGGGAAATCCACTTTTCATATGATAAAAAATTATTGTCGGGCACATGCAACATTATCGAAGCAGTGACCGCTGTTTCGTTCGATAATTTACAGCATTTAAATCGCAGAGACTGCAGTTCAGGTATAAATAAGCAAACTTTCCACATTTTGCCTCGGTTGCCTATGGCTGGGGGGGGGGGGCCTAATGTCTACACAAGAACCTCTAACCCAACTCCCAGGCCACCCGACTGGACCAGATTACTCTTTGAGATGCTCGTTTAAGGAACACACCACTGGTGCCACCTGCTGGCCATCTTTGGATATTGCAAGTGTAAGTCTCCCTGAAGGTGTTGATTTGAAGGAATTACAGTGGTGCCTCGTTAGACAGTTACCCCGCATGACAGTTTTTTCACCAGATAATGTCTTTTTGCTATCGGTATAGTGATTCGCAAAACAGTGATTCCTATGGGGGAATTCGCTGGACAATGTTTGGTCCCTGCTTCACAAACCAATTTTCGCTAGACAACAATTTTGACAGCTCCCTCTGTGCTCGCAAAGCGGGTGCTTTGGGGACTTAAGCTTTGCAAGACAGCTATTTAAACAGCTGATCGGCGGTTCGCAAAGCGGCTTTCCTATGGCCAATCTTCGCTAGACAATTACAATTCTTCCCCATTGGAACGCATTAAACAGGTTTCAATGCATTCCAATGGGGAAATGCTTTTCGCTAGACAATGATTTTCCCTAAACAGCGATTTCAGTGGAACGGATTATCATCTTCTAGCGAGGCACCACTGTACATGTTTTAAAAGACACTGGAGGGAGGAAATACTTCACCGCCTCTTTCAAACTGAAGATGTGGGCACTGGGCCTTTTCTACACCTCCAGAATGCAGCGACCAAACTGCACCTCAAGAGTTAACGGTTTTACACTGGGTTCGCATCGACTAAGGGCACGGCCATCATGGGCCACTGATGCAAATGCAACATAATTGAGAAAGAGCGCTTGACAAACCATACCGAAAAGGTTGTCCATCAGTGGCTCATCAGCCCAAGAGACAGCTATCAAGCAAACTTGATCCTGGGTTCAGTGTCCCTTCAGCTTTCTGGAGGATGGAGGTAAATGGGTTTAAAGGGTGGCCATTGAATGTGCAGGGGACTCTACCCTAGAAGAAGTTGTTGTTGTTTAGTCGTTAAGTTGTGTCCGGCTCTTCATGACCCCACATGCCAGGCCCTCTTGTCTTCCACTGCCTCCCAGAGTTTGGTCAAATTCATGTTGGTCGCTTCGATGACACTGTCCAACCATCTCGTCCTCTGTTGTCCCCTTCTCCTCTTGCCCTAAAACTTTCCTAAGTTCAGGGTCTTTTCCAGACCCTGAGATGGCCAAAGGATTAGAGCCTCAGCTTCAGGATCTGTCCTTCCAGTGAGCACTCAGGGTTGATTTCCTTCAAAATGGATAGGTTTGTTCTCTTTGCAGTCCAGGGGACTCTCAAGAGTTTCCTCCAGCACCACAATTCAAAAGCATAAATTCTTCGGCGAGCAGCCTTCTTTATGGACCAGCTCTCACTTCCATACATCGCTGCTGGAAAAACCATAGCTTTGACTATGTGGACCTTTGTCAGCAAGGTGATGGCTCTGATTTTTAAGAAGCTGTCTAGGTCTTTTAATTCTGTGGCTGCTATCACCATCTGCAGTGATCATGGAGCCCAAGAAAGTAAAATCTGTCACTGCCTCCATATCTTCCCCTTCTGTTTGCCAGGAGGTGATGGGACCAGTGGCCATGATCTTCGTTTTTTTGATGTTAAGCTTCAGACCATTTTTGGTACTCTCCTCTTTCATCCTCATTAAGAGATTCTTTAATTCCTCCTCAATTTCTGCCATCAGTGGTATCATCAGCATATCTGAGGTTCTTGATATTTCTCCCGGCAGTCTTAAATCCGGCTTGGGATTCATCCAGTCCTGCCTTTCGCACAATGTATTCTGCATACAGTATAAGCTAAATAAGCAGGGGGGGCAATATGCAGTCTTCTTGTACGCATTTCCCAATTTTGAACCAATCAGTTGTTCCATATCCAGTTCTAACTGTTGCTTCCTGTCCCACGTATAGGTTTCTCAGGAGACAGATAAGGTGGTCAGGCACTCCCATTTCTTAAAGAACTTGCCATAGTTTGTTGTGACTCACACAGTCATAGGCTTTTGCATAGTCAATGAAGCAGAAGTAGATGTTTTTCCGGAACTCTCTGGCTTTCTCCATAATCCAGCACATGTTAGCAATTTGGTTTCTAGTTCCTCTGCCCCCTTGAAATCCAGCTTGTCCTTCTGGGAGTTCTCAGTCCAAATACTGCTGATGCCTGCCTTGTAGGATTTTGAACATAACCTTGCTAGTGTGTGAAATTAGTGCAATTGTACGGTAGTCAGAGCATTCTTTGGCACTGCCCTTCTTTGGGACTGGGATGTAGACTGATCTTTTCCAATCCTCT